ATACCCTGATATCAGAAATGTTGACACATCTCCGAGAATCAAGAGACGTGTGTATATGGGTTTTCTTCAACTCTGCCATAAAACTAATGTCCATTCTATAATAGATATATGACATTGGTCTTCAACTGGAAGTCAGGCTTCCTAAACGGAGGGTAGACGATGTTGGATTGACTCTGAATGATTTGCGGTGTCATAAAATTCCCAACCAGCATGTTTCCCCTATCAACAATTTCCTCTTCATTGACTTGAACCACTTGTTCGTTTTGCGCGTTAGCCATTTGTTGTACTGCTCTTAATTCTCTTTGCCTCGATGGAAGGTGCGTTCAATTTCTGGATCAACTGGAATCAAGTTACCGTCAAGCGACATTCGCATACAAGACCTGAAAAAAGATCAAGAGTAGTACTTAGATAAACTACTAAAAAAATAACTAACTAACTAAAATAGAAATAAAAAATAATGTTCGAATTAGTGTTAAGATAAATAAAATTAAACTAAATTCAATCTCCGGTAATGGCACCAAAACTTGTTTACGAAAATATATTTAGAATTAAAATCACAGCAAGTGTACGGCTTGTTAACAAGTAATATAGTAGACTTTTTGAGTCCGAGTAACGTCCCACGGAGATTGATTAGTTCAATTTTAATTATTGTGACCTTAACCGAAATAATAGTAATGTGATGTATTTGTTTGTGACAAAATTATGAATAAATTAATCTACTTATGCAATTATGAGTAAATTAACTAAACTAAATGCAAATTATTCTAAATGTGGATTAATGCGTTCACCAAATAACAAACATACTAAGATCCTGAATTCCCATGTAATAATCAGTTTAAACCCTAGTTTTACACATTGACAACACGATTGAATTTCGACGAATCAATGTTCTTATTTTATTCATCAATCTCTCTCTAGTAACGTTAAACCTACTTTTATATATAACCCAACTATATTTCAATGATAGATGTGAACATATAAAAGTGCAAGAACTTTTATGGACACTTAAAGACTCACATAGAGTATAACAATATATTTCTATCCCTATGACAATTTATATGTGTCGAACATATTTTCCTTCTTTCGAATGCATAAAATAGATCACCACACACACAATTAACGTGCACAATAATCGTGGAGAAAATAAATCTATATAAACCACTCAAATAGTTAAAACGTATTTTATTGTTAAGAATGTAAAACTAAGAAATAAAATCATATTACATAGTTCATCGTTCCCTCTCTGTGTTCTGGTCGAGTTTGGTATATATAGGATGCCAAAAATCTTGTTACCAAAGTAGAGTTTCAATTGAAAAATGAAACAAAATCTCTCCAAAAGTTTGTACTATGCGACCGCATAGTACATTTATAAGCGGTCGCATAGAATGATATCCAACCATCAATTTTGGCCTGAAATGCATAATGCGATAGCATCAAATTAGACCTATGCGACCGCTTAGTATACTTTTTTCCCACTGGACAGCCTTATAAGCAGCCGCATAGAAAGACGTCCAATCATCAATTTTGGTCCGGAATAATGCGGTCACATCAAATTAGACCTATACAGCATAGGTATACGTTTTTTCCCACTTGACAGCTTTCAGTATTTCGATCATATCTTTCTCTCCCGATATCCGATTGAGGTGGTTTAAAATGTGTTGGAAAGATAACTTAAATGGATACAAATCGTCCAGAAATATAATGTTTCCAATTCGAACATTTTCTATACCACAATTGGGTCTCAAATTGAAACTGAAAATGCAAAGCATAACTTTTTCGGTTGGAAGTTGATATTTAATAGTACTTGAACTATATTTCATCCATTTGGCTTCTTTCCTCATCCAATTGATGCCTAACACTTCAAATATTTATCATGAGGTTCAACATAACTTTTGAGTATTTGCATTTCAATCCCCAAACTTTATATTTGATAAAATTGAGCACGTTTCGCTATCTTTGCATTCTTTTCTCAAATTCTTCATCAAACATTGAGTTTTATCTACAAAATGAAATATAACACAAATTAAGTATTATTTTATCCAAAGAACAGTAAAATATCATCATTTAGGACATCGAATAAGTGTAGAAACTACACTTATCATTATCCAATGATTTTTGGACGCATGCAATTAGTGGAAGATTAATTGATTTGGTTGTTGGAGAAAAGTTGATGATGAGTATGAATTAGTGGATTTCAATTGAATGGACCCCAATAATCAAGAGAGATGGCGCCAAAAAAATAAATAAATTAAATTAAATTAAAAAT